ATAAGGTAGGACCTAATATACTACCCTGAGGAATTTCGTAACTACTGTTTTTTAGTTCAGAACTTCTATATTGACCAATTTTTACGCACTGCTGACGATTTTTAAGATAGTCCGTGAATAATTTCAGCTGTACTCCTCTTATACCAATTTTTTCAAGTTTATGGAATAACAAGGAGGAAGAAATTGAATTCTTACTGCCTTTTACACTTCTATTTAATGTTTATTTTGCACTGATTGCGTTAATGCTACTGTAATTTAAACACAGGATATTTATTATACTTCGTTCTAAAGAGGACGTAAAGGCTTAAACTTGTTTACAAAGTTATTTTATTTTTGGAAAGGAAAAATCCACTGGAAATGTGCATTTCCGCAGATAACGTTCGTTCAGTTCCGTCGTAAGAGCGACAAGCACTAAAAAGATAAAAATAACAATGTTAGGTGTTCTGATTTACATACATTTTAGGGTTGGATACAATGTTGCCTCTTGGCAGTAATCTAGTCACATCTAGATAGTTTAAACGTGACACCGGAACGCGACTATCGCGCTTAACATCATTGCTTGTCATCAACAGATATCTATTGATTTCCTTTCTTCTACGAAATATCGACATACAAACAATAATTATCATTGATTTCTTCAATGAAGCATGTAGGTATCTACTTCATTTTTTCCCGTATCAAAACGGCTTGTTATGTAAATTCCAGCCACGCGTTCGCACCAAGGAGGTCATTTGCTCTACTGATATCAACACGAATTTGTTTACTTTACTGTGATATTATCAGAATAGGTCATAATTACAAATTATAACTCGATGCCTTTATCAGTCACTCTATTTAATTAATTCTAACTAGAGTTACCTAAGTACATAGTACGCAAAACTATGATTACACGCTTTTACACTTTCTGGTCTAGACAATAGTTGTCAAGGCGTATCGTGTAACAAAATAAAAGTATGTCAGGGTTATGTAAAGAAATTGGCGGGAAGCCGACGCAGAAAATTGTTTGAACATTTTAATTGCATCTCTTTTCCTAATAGCTATCTCTTGGACACATTTCAGTTATATCGAGAGAGAAATGGGAGTCGATGTTGGTTACTAACAACTGGAACTGCGTCGAGCTGAGAGACAACCGGTACAATCACATCGTACACATGCTCTCAGCTGCCAACGGAGCTGAGGACTTTTACTCCACCGAGGTAAGCACTTCCTTTCTCTTAAACCGTTCTACGTCACAAGTCAGTGAACTAGGAAATGCAGGCCAAACTCCAAGAAACTAGGCCGCGGCTAAAATACACGTCAGATAAAAGTCACACTCTTGATAACTATACTCGCTGCCATTAGCAAAACTAATCGTTTTATTTCATTTGTTAGTTTAATACGGATTTGAATGCAAACAATACAGCTGTTGCCATACTAACTACATTTTTCTCGCAAATTTTCCCAAGATAAATGCCGGTGCCATACAAATTACTTTTATCTTAGTTAGCAATGGAATTAATATTGAGTATATTTAGAGACGACTATTACCATGCCAGTGTACCTTTAACACTTACTATTATCAAGCATTAATAATATTATTAGCTCAAACCACAAGTAATGAATTGAAACCAGACTGTTACGGAATGCGATATGTTGATAACTATGATCTAACCTGTCGCCTGCGTGCAAGGGATATGATACATGATCATTATGTTTAAGCCATGATGATACGAAACATAATAATATTGATAATGTAAACCAAACGCAATATAAGTATGATAACGACAGCTATACACTATTCCAAGATCGTATAAAACGAAGGTTGTCTAAAGTCTGTGTTAATGACTGTTATCATAAAAATTTTACGTCGATTTTATTATCTGAAAACACTAAAATCTAATGTAAATATCCATCAAAGGTGGATCGTGGATATACTTAGCTAATGTGACATAGTTAATGTGAATTCTCGACCACAGTGATCTATAACCCCGTGTGTTGTAGGTGTGGGTATTATCGGCTTAGCTAGAACTACTCGTACGTCAGTATTACGTACGTATTGATCTAGCAATCTATTGAGGAAACATTCCCACCGTCTATTTTAAATTAAACGAATTTGCGTCCTATCTATAGACCGGCACGATTCAATGTCAAAACAGATTTCGCCACTCAACGTGTGATAAGTCTGTCTATGTTTACCTGATGTGATACGAACTGTTTTGGTGTGATAAAATTATACCTCATCACACTAAATAATTAGCGTGAGATAAGTAATGAGACTAATGAGCTTATGTCAACAGAGTTCTTTATAGACACGAGTACTTGGTAAACAAATGCAAGTATGTAATTATAACTTAATAACTCAATTTGTGAAAACTAAGTTCATTGTTTGAAAAGGGTAATAATTAAACTGACAAACACCAAGCGGTCACCGGTGACCGCAACCTATTGTTCTATAATTGTGTCTACAAAACCGGTACTCGACGAGTTAATCATAGCTACATTTGTATCATATATCCTACATTTTTGTCAGCCAAGCGTATAGACAATAAATTGAATGGAAGCATGAATTATGCGGAAAGGAACTATATCATACGTACATAAGCTTGTAATTGCAAAATCATTCACATTATATCGACCCTGACACAAGATAGAAAATTACTTTACGTTAGAATCAGTTACAAGGCATTAAGTTCTTCAAACCATTACATAAGAACTTAAGATTGATTGTACGAAAATTATCAAATAATAAAAGGAAGTGGGATTAAAATATTAAATGATAAATGAGTTTTGGTTTTTTGAAAAATATGCGGTTTAATAGGCGATAGGCCGATAGTACTCTTGGGAATAACACGCTTGAGTTTTGTTCCGAAAAAATAAGTATTTATTTAAAACTCATTATTTATTTAACAGCATTTTGACAAGCATACCATCAATCATTATGAGAGACATCGCTATTTACTAACGCTTGGCTCTCCCTCTGACATGTTTTCAAGCTATCGATTACCTTACCTACACAAATATACTGTATGCGGGTTTCAAGTAACGTCAGACCAGACAATGGATAATAACAGGGGACCTACTGTCAGCGCGTGACGGTTTTCATATTTAAATGTATCTAAGTGACAAAGCGTCACTATATTCTACGTACTCTAGTATCTATTTATTCAATTTACTCGATACCACCTGCGTGTAACAAATTATCACTTTGTGTTTGTATATTAGAACGCGATAAACCATTACAACAATGTTATAATGGTTTTCGCCTAGTGTGAGCCGATCCTACAAATGAACCGCACAGAGGGCCGCATCAATGTAGCACACGGCGGTAGGCCGTGAGATATTTGTCATTAAATATTTTAACGAATGCCTCCATATAAACTTGCTTACTTTGTGGTAATAAATTATTATGTTAATGTTAAAATCCTAAAATTGTGACCGCTATTACAACATCTTGTTGCTCCTGGACAAATCAAAAAATGTAAAAGTATTTATTTCTGTACAAGTGATTTGTAATTTTTTAGAAATAAATGAATTCAAACCGCAACCGATAAACGCAGAAACCGCTAAACAGATTACGATAACATTTCCATTAATGGATGCTGACATAGTGGAGGTTTTAGTGTACATTTTATGAGTAGAGAATGCGTGATGATGCCGATTCCTGTACCTAGTTATAATATATGTAGCTAAGTACATAATTGCATATTATGTACTTTTAAGTGACTCTATGGCCAATTATTACGCTCCGTGGTAAGAAACGTGACTGAAATAATAAAACAATTTAAGTGCAACTTCATTGTAATATAAATGCCTATCCAACGTAAATTTCGTCTAGCGTGTCATTATGTTCATGTGATCACGTTATGAATATCGTGTGTGGTATTTTGATAATTTTATACTATGCTCTTGTAGTTTTTATTCATAAACTACAATTATTTTCTATTGACTTTAATATCATACTGATAGCTTTACATTAAAGCGTTCGCCCCTTTAGAATTTAACTTGTGTAGTTTTAGTTTATCTGAACGAATATCTAAATAATAAGTAGTCTTATGTTACTCTCTGATAAGCAAGCTTTTCTATTGTGAAAGAATTTTTTAAATCAGTTCTGTAATTTTGGCGCCAATTCAATGCAAACAAGCAATGAAATATTTTCTGTTTATAATATAATACGAGTTCATTATTAACTTATTTTTTACTTAAAACTTGATAAATGCAGATAATTGATTAGCTTCAATCATATCTTGCTATCTTAGGTAATAACCTACTTAAATGGAAAATTTACCCAACCTATGTCAATAATAAGGACAAAGATTAATATGTTTTTGTTATAACGACCTCGTTGCTTGAATGGTTGCAACTGCAGTTGTAGGGGATTTAGTAACGGGTTTAATTGTTCGCTCCTTATCCTTGAAAGATGACGGAGATTAGGTGCTATTTGACGTACAGATGCTCTTTTACCTAAAATCTATTTATTTATTTCAATACATTACAATCGATTACTCAGCATGTTCAAAACAAATAGTAAACATTCAAATCTAAATTAGTTTGCATATTTTTATTTCGTTAAACGGTTGCTCAGAGCCATAAAAACAGTATTATTCAAATGTCTAACTTTATGAATTACCGCAGCGCATGCAATCCTCGTTTGTGGTTTCGCAATAACATTGGCAATGTGCCATTTCAAGACTACTGTGATAAAGCCCCCTGTATCAATAATACCTAGCTATAAGAATAATAATATCAATCTAGTGGCGTCATCGAAAGATAGGATTAACGTTTTGTTATGAATTTCCAAGATCAGAGATTAAGGCGCCCTGATAATATTGATTAGGTACTATTCGTCATTATGATGCGTTTCTCACGTGACGAGTAATCGTCTTATGTATAATCACACTTGGAATCTGACAATTAAACGTATGACCTAAATTAGTTCCGCGCTTATTTTTGCCTAACCTTGACAGATACGATATCTGACTCAATTGAATTATAATAGACGTGTGGTTTTCATTGACAGGATCACGCCTGCCGATCTGAAGGCGTCGAGCTGGCGAGGGAACTGGATTACAATGCGGCTGCCGCGTGGATCGGTCATCCTTACTTCGATGTCATCGACAACTCGACCGACTTCGACCTGAAGATGAACCGGCTCATCGACTGTGTGTGCCAGAGGATCGGCATTGATACCGGAGACCGGCTCAATGTCAACTCCAAGAAGCGCAAGTTCCTCGTCAAATCGCCGATCGTTCCAGATTCGGAGTTCCCTCCGTTCCAGGACTTCGATGTCGTTCACAATTACTTGCAGAGCGATGTCCGCAAGGCACAGGTCCGACTCCGCAAGCGTGGCCAGAAGGGCCACTGGTCCTACATACACACGCTGCGGAAGGTCCATCCGATCAATGGCCAGTCTGTAGAAGTCAGGACACAGCTTACGCATCGAGACTACTTAAACCTCCTCCCGCAGCGTGACGAAGCCCACTTCACTATCTTCAAGAAGCGTCGTTGCTTTATCTATAACAACCAGTACTATCAGTTGGACATTTACAGACAACCCTCACATCCCAGGTGATTAGGTCTTCGAATTATTTCTACCTATTTATTTTAATTAAATACAGCTTTATATTGTTATAATAAATTAAGTATTTTACATATATTTATTTTATTATTTATTTATTTATTCATTCGCCAGATACAAGTTTCTAAGGTAATATTTATGCATGTATGCTTTTTGGTGACATAAAATCACTTAATAAAACATTATCTAAGTACAACTAAAATGTTTCCAGGTGTCGAGGACTAGTTTTACTAGAGACGTACAGTGCTATTCACGATCAAGACACGCTGTTGGCGTCGCTACCTAAGTTCCTTGTCATTGAGAAGGAGGTGACCGGTGACCCCGCCTATTCTATGTACAACTTGTCCCTTAAAGAAGATTGGAAGAATTCAAAAAAGTACTACACTGGTGGTGAGAGCTCCAAACAAGCAAGTGCTAAGAAAGAAGGTGTGTATGCTTATCCTTTTTGGACATATCTTCGTGGAAATGCCTCATCTGATTCCATACAAATTCAAATCTGGACAATAATATCCTACCATTAACTCTTCTCTGTATCACCCAAAGGTCAAAGTGGGATAAAATGCCTGCGGCATCAAGTCCACCTTATGTACACTTTGTGCATGAAGCTTTAATAAACAAATAAATATCTTTAAATGAATATTCAAAATTCAGATTTGAACAAACTGTACGCATTTGGATGAGAGACAATGTCTTATATTCAGTTTATCAATGTGTACAACTGCTATTAAAATATTTGTCGTGTTCACCACTAACATAATTATCCGTGATAAAGAAGTTTTAATAGCACTTGTCTCAAATAGATCCTTGAATTTATGTCTCTGTTGATCATTTCTTTGCATGCGATATTGTGATGTGAACACTGGCGTAAATTGTGTTATAGAATAGATTAGACACCCCTATTAGTACCGGTAGACTTCTATTTTACTAGTTTTTATAGGAATCTTTTTAAAACAAATATTCAGTCTAGTTTTTGTCTCATTATACATTGAATGTTTTGCACTAATAAGTCAATATCTCCCCCGTAATACGTAGCAACATTTACTATCTGGTCTACTAATATTCGAGCCTCATTACATATCAAACATGAAAGTTAGGGAATTATACGTGAAGAACAAATTGTCAGTAAGAAAAAGACGCGGGAGGTATGGATACATTTCATGTTTCTACCACTGTGTGAGTATTGCTAGTTCTCCCCCCCCACGCGGGTCCCCGAGTATATTAAAGTCACCATAACTTTCCAGATACGAGAGCTGTTGCTATTTTGGGACGAACCGAAATGGGTTCATCCGATGAATCTACTAATACGGAGCGCAATATTTTGTAAAGAACATTTAGCTTAGAAAACGTGACTAACACATTTGCGTCAGTGTCACTATGAAACACGTAGTTTGGGGGTTAAAAGGAAATTTTCTTTTGATTTATCAGGGCATTCTAAAGGCTTGACCAACGGCCACAAGGATGAAAAACACATTGGCTCTAATGGAGTCGCGAAAATGAATGGCCACGCAGGTGAGAAGGTCAATGGGCATGCCATCGGTAAAATGAATGGCCACGCAGGTGAGAAAGTCAATGGTCATGCCATCGGTAAAATGAATGGCCACGCTAGTGATAAAGTCAACGGGTACAGTGATATGGGCACTGCGCGTGGAGCCAAGGTAAATGGCCACCACGCCAACGGGCACGCTCCGAAACTCAACGGTGCTGCAGTAAACGGCGCTGCGCATGAAACAGAGCTGGACGAATTCAAGAAGAACCACAGAATGGATCTCGGATCACCAAAGATTACAAAGGTTGCTGTCAAGATTTAATTAACATTAACTTACTTTAGATTTTGAAATTTTATGGAATTCCACTTTGTAACACTTCAATATACACCAAATTATGAAATAGCAATAATGTTAAGAACTACTTAAATGTAATAAATAACTATTTCATTATCGCCAACCATCGTTAAAAGGTCATGTATGCTCGTATATTGTATTTATTCATAGTACTTTTATATGAATTGCCAAAAGATAACTATTTTTGTAGTATTCCTTAAATATTACAATATTTTACATAGGTAATGCATCCAAGAACACCACAGCGTATAATATATTGAGCAATCTGAATAATTCAGATATATGTAATAAAATGTTTTGTATTGTTTGTGCCTTTACACAGTATGATATACTTAAATACTTTTTCATAAAAATATAATACAAATATTGTCATTCACACTAATAGTATGTACTTAAAGTGTTGCAATAATATCAATTTAAGTATTGTTGCAGTATGTTAAACACTATGTACTAGTGTTTTAGGTTCTAATGTACCTAACATGATAGCATTTTATTTATAGACTTAATTTAATTATGTATTGAAGACGCGACGTTAGTAAATTTCATAATTAGAACGTTGCAGTAAATCGTTTTAGTTTGTAGATTGAATCGTGAAATTTTAATGTCTCGATGTTGTGTGGTCACGTAGATCGTTCACACTTATTTCTTTACAGGGGTCCAAATGTTATCTATCATTAACACCATTCGTTAACAGTATTCACTAGGGCGGGTCCCCTGAGCTTTTAGCGTTGAATTTGTCTTAAATGAAATATATTTTTATCAAATAAAGAAATATATTTATGTGACATAGAGTAATTCGATTTAGAAATTGATGTCGTTGCAATGTCACTATTTTTTTTATTGTCGAAGGAGACTAGTACCTACTTAACGCAAAATCATAAAAATAATTTTACAAAAGTATTTTTAAGGCCATCTTTTTAATATAATTTCAATGTAATGAAGACAACATCTACTGTATAGCGGTTTGCTAAATAGCTATGAAGCTATTCAATCGTTTGGCAAAGATCCACGGTAGCATTGTTAATGGCTGTGCTATTATAATTGAGCAATTGAGGGCTCTAATTCTACAGAGCAAACGTTGGCGGCGAACGTGCCAACTGAAATTTATCTTACTAGCCGTTTGCACCAAAAGGATAAATGTAACGCTAGCTTTATTGCAGTGTATAAATAATAAAATGCCAGAATTATTTGAGTTTGTCTAGCAAGACTTGGCTTTGAATATTGTATTCAATAAATCTTTACATTTTATAATGTAATTTATTTTTGGTGCATCGTGCTATTATTAGCTTTTGGGCGTAAAAATCTCAAAATTGCATATTATATGTACTTCTCGCATCGTTTCTTAATAAAGAAAAATGCGTCATTGGATTTTTTGTTTTACTTACAACCTGAAACTATTCTAGATTTTCCAGTTCGATTTGAGCATGAGGTTTGTGTTATGTACCTAATTTATTATCGGAGGAGTGGATTATGCAACTACGGATTTAACGTAGTAGTCGGGCGAACGAATACTACGTAATGTATGCGGGTTCGATTCCCAAACGAAACAAGTATTAAGTTCCGGGTTTGGGTGTGATGTTGATGAAAAATTGTAAATGCACTTAGGTACTACGCAGGAGAAAATCTCCGTATGGGGCAACGATTTGCGCATTTTTTAAGAGGACCGAAGATACCAAAGTATTAAAATCAAAACGTCTGGCCCTAAGTGTAGAAAAGTTGTAAAGCTGAGAAGTGCTCGTCAGGGGTTATTCAAAATATACCTAGTAAATTAATCATGGCGAAAAAAATCCCATGGAGTTACGAGAGTAGATTGTTGATCTGATTGACCAATGAACCCATTTTATGCCAACCATCTCGTACATGTGTGTGGGAATGGTTCAAATCCCACAGGTACAGTTAGCTAAACTTTCTCGACCGATGACTGGCGAGAAGGCGATCGAGTAGTTCATTTCGAACTAACCACAGATACAGAATAGCTTAGCAGGTCCGGAACACTCACAGGTGTGTGGAATATCTCGTAAATTAGAAGTCCAATCACAAAAACAGGCCTTAGCAGTTCACTGTTAGAATTGACCTATGGGTCTACTCTAAACGGCCCTCCCGTTTAGAGTATCATCAAGATCAAGTAATCAGGGGGCTTACTCTTGAATCCAATTCCGATCGATCGACATTGGTAAATACATTGGTATTGTGAAACGTACTCTTCAACTCTTGACTTGCAACACTAGCACCCATTGCATCCGTATTGCGTGGATATTGAATGAATTAAATTGTATTGAGTTTGGCTTTATATTCCGTACTCTAAAATTAAATGCTATTTCAACAGCTACGATAGGGGTTGTATAGTTTTGACATTAAATAATTATTGAGATTTTATTGGATTGAAATTGCATTGACATTGGTTTCAAGAGTAAGCACCCGGTTTGTAAACTGTCAAGGAGTGCAATGTGTGGTCGTAGATTCTCTTAGTTGACTCTTACATTATCTCGCGGGAATAGTAGGTGATGATAATATTCTATGGATCGCGGATCAGATTAATTTGCTACATAGCTTAAACATAAATTAGAGACCTTATTTATAACTATGATAATTTTATTTTTTAACACAAGAAATTGAACATTGTTTTGGTAAATATTATACATGGCTGTGGAATGCAAGATAAAGCTTATGTTTGTGGAAGTAAAATAAAGATTGCTGTGAATGCACCATGGTCAAACAATAATTTACTAATAAATTTTGTCTAAGTACAATATTAGGTGGGATGGTGCCTGGTCCATTTTGGGCAATTCTCAAGGATATCATCATTAATAATAAGGCAGCATCTCAATAAAAGATGTCAATGTCTAGTGTATAATGCTTTCAAATAGCATTTGCTTGAACATTGCTCAAAGACCATATTTGGCAAGCAATAACATATATGGAACAACATCAACAATGTCTTGAATGCAAAACAAAGTTTGCGATTTCAACCATGCCACAAATACAGCAGCCTTGACACAAGTTATTGTTTAGTTTTTATTAATATCTTTGATTTTCTGTTCTTTATACATTTTAATAACTTTTTTGCCAGGCACTAGTGTCTGGCTCAACCCTGGTCGTTTGAGTTTCTTTTTATCTGTGGCTCCCTCCCAGACGGCATCATCTGTGGGTAGGACAGACTCAAGGACGGCTATAGGCGGAGGAGCTGCAGTCATTGTTCCAGCTCCTTCACATACCACTGATTTCAGTTTCTGAAAATTCAATGAATAGTTTTTATATTTTGCTCACATTAACAACAATCTAAATAAAGAATATGATTTATTATTTTACCTGTTTTTCTGCTTCAATCTCATCATTAGACTTCTGTATGTCTGTATCATGGGCATATTTACAGTTGTGTCCGAAGCGACAGCGGCCCTTCCGATAGTTCCAGCATATCCGTTTGCCATTTATCATCTGTGTGTTGTCTTTACCTGGAACCTTACAGTCATTGCCTATGTACTTGACGATTGTATGCACAACTCGATACTAAACTTTCCTGTCCTATAAAGATGCTATTTAATTTTGATATATGGTATCATGATGAAGATAGTTATAAATTATTGTCTGCTGTTCATGAACCAAAATTACATAATGACCATGTATAAGCAGTTGAAAGTGCTGTCAAAGTTTATCTATTTCTAAGTAGTAATGAATATTAAATAGGTCACTGACTGAGAAAAAAGTCCCAGAACTAATAAGATAAGAATAACTTTGTTATTCAGCTGCCATTCATATTTCTTAACTACCATTCATTTAACATACACTATAGTAACAGATCTAAAGTTTAAAAGTTTTAAAACTACCTAACAATATCACAAAACATGTTATGTGTTAGGAAGTCAACATATACCATTTTAACATGCTTTTCAAGTATTGCAGCCTTTGCCAGTTCTGCTTCCACGAATGGATTGGAAAAAACAGAAGTTTGTAGGCTACTTTCCCCGATCGTCGGCTTTGGTAATTTGAGCTTTGTACTCTCGCTTTGAGACCTGAAATAAAGAAGCACAAGCGTGTAATGAAAGAATGCTTGATGAACAAATAAGTCAGTTATAGTTTTAACTTACTTTTCATTCTCTGTGTTTTCTTCCTCGGTATCACTTGAGGATGAACCGTAACCTAATAAAGCATTCATTTTGGAAGGTATAAGACGTTTGTAGAAGAGAAACCTACTGGAATAGTAACGACTAATTAAAATAATTGTAATAGAAAAACCATGCTTCTCTGACTACAATGCACAGATAGCGAAACAATAACAAATTGTCAAATTCGTCAATCAATCAATGAATGTGAAGAAAGGAGACAACGTCATTCTGTTTTGGAGTGTCCCGAGTGTCTCGTTCTATTGGTGACGTCACTAAATATTTCCGTTGATAAAACTTTTAAACCTATGTATAGTCAGAATTTTAATTAGATTCCAGATTTGACAATAGCTACTGTCATTTTGTGAAATAATGATACCACATATAATAGTGTAGTGATGAACCCAAAAATCGAGAAACAATCAGTGTGTGTGTTTTATAATAAATGTTACAGAAAGTGACAGGACAGCGATAGCGATGACGGCGACAATTTATAAAATTACTTATTACTATAATACATCTATCTATTTTATTTGTCATTTTCCTTCATGATTACATTTTTGTATTAATTTCACACACAATTATAAAAGAAAGGTCTTAGATCGTTAATTAATCGTCAAAACTAAAATATCGGTTCAGAAATATTTAATTTCCTGAATACTTAGTTTACGGGAGAAAAAATATAAACGAGAAGAATCGATCCAGAAATATTGCATTTCCATATCGAATAATTTCGCAACGTCACTATTTAGTAATTGTCATAACGTTGCAACACTGAAATTGTCAAATCTGGAATCGAATTAAAATTCCGAGTATAGGTATTTGATTAGATAGTTCTTATTGTCTCATGCTCTCATTCCAATTTTTTTCGGGAAATAAAAAAATTTAATAAAAACCTAAATAAAAATTATTCAATAAATAATTTTAAAACCTTACTTTTTACACTGGCAACATTTTTGTTTTCTCACGTTGTCATTTTATAAATTTTGTGGCAACTAAATAAATTTTGTCCAAAATGGTAGATTTTTAAGTCGAGTACTTGGATCTCAAGTTTCTAAAAATAATAAATTAATCTAGAGTAATGCAGACATTATTACTTCCTCGCCCAAATCACAGATAGAAGGAGTAACTATACTTATTACATTGACTGATTTACACACTACGATTTATTCAAATGCCGCATTTAATATCCATACATCGAGAAAATGATCTGTCAGCTTGATTTTTTTAATATGTATTGAAAATTTTGTTTTCTATCGGAGCACCTCCTTTCAGTACTTTACAAACTCCTATGTAACTTTCATGATCACTCAAGTCACAGAGTGACGTTCTTGAAGCCGTAAAAGTGAAAATAAACGATTCACAATCAAAACTGACTGATAATAGTGAATTTTACTTGTAATAAAGCATATAAGTATTCCCGAAAATTTATTTTCAGCTAAAACACGTGTTATTATTTCAGAAGCTTTGGTAGATTTAATTTATTAATAGTAGATTTTTTTATTGAAATATGACCACCCTATAATTTCTTTTTCCCATTTTTTGAATGTGTGCGAGCGAGACAACAACTCGCTAGTTTGCCGTGTAGTGACGGCGGCATCAATTTCTGAATTAATTACCATTTGTCGCAAAAACTGCGCGTCCTTTATCTTTTCTAGACCAAAATCTTTAATCTTATTGCAGGTTGTGTTTATTAGTGATCTAAATGGCATCGGATGATGAAGTAGACGGTTCTTTCGCAGGTAAACGTTCAATTTAGCTAGCATGTCATAGGTAAGCCGCGAATAGCGGTATCATGTGTTTACTTGCGGTATAAGCAATTAAAAATTTAGAAAATTTTGGGTTCCGTGACTTAGATTTTGCCACTTAGTATGTTCAAACACAGTGATATGTGACCAAAGAAGTGTATTTTGAGTGAGTTAATATTGTATTTGTTATTTTGTGGTTGTAAATATTTTTAAGTGGCAGTTTGTGACAGAAAAGAACATGCGATATCCCCTCATTACTACTTAACAAAATGGACGCCGCCAAACAAAGGGATTAGTGACCTTAGCGTGAGGAGTGTGCTCATGTGGCGAAATGCACTATCGTAAAGGTTTAGCTAGGTTGTGTTAAGAGGGTGGAGTGGTGGACTGGTTTGACCAGTTTATTGTGAACTTGCAGGCGACGAGGACGTGGAGGAAGGTGAGGGTCAAAATGAGAACTCTGGAGAGAGTGATGAAGCACCACCAAAGGTAATTATAAAATGTATTATTCATTCATGTTTTGTTAATATTGTTCAATGAATGGTTGTATTTGTAAACATTTCACTAACCTACTCTTTGATGTGGTTAAGTTGATGAGCCTATTTCAATGTTATTATTAGGAGGATGAAGACTATTCACCCGAAGATGGTAGAAAGAAGAAAAAGGGAAAGAAAAGGAAAGCCCGAGGAGAAGAGAAGAAGGGCAGAAAGAAAAAGAAGAAGCGTAAGAATGAAAGTGAAGAGGTGAGTTTGATTATCTAATTTAAACCCTATGACATTATTTTAATGTATAAATTCTCTTTGAATCATATGGCAGATATAATCAAGAGTTATCCAATTTGTTTTGATAGGTACTTATTATTTTCAGTTTGATAAAGTGAAAATTTTCCCTAACTTTTATCTATAGTAAAACATAAACAAGATGATCTGAAATCTAAACAAGAAGGTTTTAATGCACCAACTGCTTGATATAAACATACCAATGCAGGTCGCACTCAGATAATTGAATTAAAATGAAATGCCATCAATTACATCACTATGATTTGTTTGTAAAACTTGTCATAACATGATTGTGTGATGTCACCACAGACAATACAGTTGAGCTCAAATATTACAGAATTGTTCTGCATTGTTTTATCTAATGGCCCATGCAACTGAATCTCATAATGCCTTTTATAAAACTAGTTTTGGAACTTGTTATATTACTGCTAGTTGAGTACCATCATTATAGACACAATTAAAGAACAATAGGTTGCGGTCACTGGTGACCGCTTGGTTGGGTGACAGTTTAAATTTCTCTTAGCCTAACTGAAACATTTTTCCCACAGTCATTTTAAATTGTCAAACACCAAACGGTCACCGGTGACCGCAACCTATTGTTCTATAATTGTGTCTACAATGACGGTACTCAACGAGTTAAATTATAGGAGATAGATCAAATTATCTATCTGTTAAGATAATTTAACCACATCACATATTATGGTGAAACAAGACTTTAAAATAACTGGTTAGCAAACCAGTTTCAGCTGTATTGTAGTTACAAATTAACTTTTTAAGATAATAATATGTTATTTACTCAAATAGGTAGATAAGAACTAAGGGATCAAAACTGAGGACTTATAGTCCATCTGTTTAGGTAATTAACTAAAGGTAAACAAACAAAACCACGTGACACAGAGATACTTAACCTTCTATTACTTCAAATATTTCTCGTGTTTTAATTTAAACTAAATTCACTTTAACATCGTTCATTTGTCACACACACATACAAGCACAAATGCCTAAATCGTAAAAGAGCCTAGCCTATGGGTCTATTTCATTATCATGTTTAAATAGAAACTATTCTGAATCTGATGTACGGATTTCTTTCTTGTACGGATATGTGTCTTTGGGCCAAGTTTCTTCAATATATTTGAACACAATAATTACAAACGATGAATAACCTAAACTTAAATAACGTAATAACAAAAACAAAACAAAAACAAGATAAATTCAACAAAATAGGAACGCGAGCGCAAACGACGAGAGAGCTGTCAATGGCGCCTGATTAACCGACTAAACGTAATACACGCTACTTTCATTGTCGCGCTACATCTTAATTGTACTCTTTAATTTGACAACATTATCTAATGCTTCGTTCATAAAGAAAGGTTTTGGATACCTGGGATTTTAGGCTCTTTATGGTGTCTATTGTAATGAAATAATATATTATTTAATAAAAAATGTTATTAAATTATTATGCTCAAGCGATATATATAATATTTACTAAGAAATAAGTGAAAAGGAACAGAAACATAACATTTAATAGAGAAAACTGTCGTAAAAACGGAAACAATTTTATTTTCTTATGAAGTATTTTGAGTCATGGAAATGTCAACTATAAAGAACTCTTTTTATGGTTTGTTTACAAATAGTTAACTACCTAAACAGACGGAGTATAGGTAGTTTGTTTTGGTATACTAATCTCTGAAACTGACAGTTGGATTTAAAACAATCATTTACATAACGATAACTGACTATTGAGACATGTATACATACCAAAGTAATTTTAATGATATCATCGTAGCTATCAAATAAAAAAGAAATAGTCTGGGAGACACAGGCTCTATGAAAACAATAGCTAATTCGTAACTCAAAATACCTATTGATATTTTATTAGTCATCTAAATTCACCATGCATTTAGATTAAGTATTTTACTAGTTATCATCTTTACTTCATACTCAACTGTATTGAGGTCACGGAATATTGTTATCTGGTTACTGATATTAGAGATGATACGGCAGGTTTTTCACCTTACTTGGCCACAGCACATCAAGTTATCCTATACTTGACTACACAATTGACAAAGCCAATTAGGCTGGTTAATTAACTGCTAATAGGTATAAATAAAACTATATTCGCGTTAAAAATAAAGGTATCTTAATCATAATACTATCAAGAGAATCAAGTATTCAATTACGATTGCAGATTTATTTGTATTGTTTGTTTTAATCAGTGCCACTACTTTCAATCTGATAAGGTAAATAGTTTCTATAATGGATTTAATTTACTCCATATAAAACTTGCTATATTCTTTTATACAATAGTTTGCGATTATAAATCTTTCTTTCCTTGTACACATGATTGAACACAGTAATCTAAATCAAAAGTACATAACTAAACTTTGTTTTGTTCTACATTTTTTATTTAACATCTGTAATTGCTTGCATAGATTATAAACAGTTTTATCTGCAAAAAGTATTGAGTACATGCATACTTTTTAGATGAGGTTGCAAAGTGCTTTGACCTCTTTTCTCGATTTTGTATAAACAAACATGCTACACACCTTGCAAAGTTATCTTAAAGAGTTAAAGTCGATTGACGTTTTTAAAAACACAGGTTGCAATTGAATTTAATTGAATACTGAGTATATACTAATTAGTTGATGTATATTATTATGATGAGTGATAATTACTAAATGATGTTATGAAGTTCTTTATATTGAAACTGCTTTAAAAAATTTTCGTACTTATTCTGATATTGGGAGCATGTGAGTACGGGGCACTAGAGCCTCA